CATAACCAAGAGCGAGAGCACCCAGCACCATCACGTAAAAGTGAACATAACTCGACTGCATTCCCAAAGGCGGATCCATGTAGTGTGGGATCCCGTCCTCGACAGCCATAGCAGGGATCCTCGACAGCCATAGCAGGGAGGGTAGTGGCAATCCCTGAAGTGCTTTTCTGCCGCTGGCCACAAATTCACGGCGTCATCAGAGGGTAAGACCTGCATTTACTGTGCGTGTTTGGGCAGCGCAATCGGCGATGCGGGCGGCACGGTCTGCAGCTGATACAAGAACGCAAGAAAAGACAGAAAGACGAGCAGCAAGCAGTGCGATGAAGGCTAATAGCACGAATGCAGAAATCTCAATGGCAACCTTCATCCTTCCTTCCATCTCCTCCTGTTGCATCACAATTTTGAGCAGTGCAAGCGCCCTGCAGAGCAACCAGCGAATTATCGTGCAAGGATACAGGTAGAAAGTACTCATGCCCTTGAATGCGCCAAGCAAGCGCAAAGCAGCTGGTTAAGCGCAAATCGAAAGTGCCAGAACGCAAGTGAGCAAGGCCGTGCACGAAGGACGGTCAGTGAAGTCATCTGAATTTATGTTGTTTCTTCACCGGCGCCGATAATCCAATCCCCCAAGGCAGGATGAACCTGGTAGTCCATGGCCGCCACCACAAGTCACTGCTGCTTGCCTTGACGAAGCTTGGCGTCAACTCCACGAGCCTGAGCATACAAGGCTGGAACAAACACCCGCAAGTAACCTCAACGGCCAATTCCAATGCTATACACATGCCTAATGAATGAATAGATGTAGACCCTAGCACCTGCCTACCTCTAAATAATCCTATCAGTTTCGTCAACATCCGAGCCACTGTTTTTTTGGCGCGAGATTAAAAAACAATCGCAGTATTATGGATACGTACAAAATAAAAAGAAGAAAGAAAAAAGCAACAAAGAGAGGAAAAAAAAGAAAAAAAAGATGAAAGAGAAAAAAGGGGAAAAAAAGAAAAAAAGAAAAAAGAAGAAGAAGAAAAGAGGAAAAAGGAAACAAAAAAAGGGGAACGAAAACATTGAATATGGAAGAAACTACAAGACTAATCAAGACAATTTAATCAAACACTCCAGGGAATCACCAACGACACCTCCCAAACCAAATCCCACTGGAACAAATCCTATACCCCTGGAGAATCATCTTCCCAGAGAACAGGTCAGGTCCAAAGAAAAGAGATGGAGTCTTCAGACAACCCCTCTTTGGTACCCCACTGATTAGAAATGATAAAGGAGAATGCCTCCCACTCTCCAAATCAGAAACTAAATGGGGGTACTGGCTAGGAAAGGGAGTCTGGCAAATCAAACACATCTGGGACGATCTAAGTAAAAACTGGAAAACAGAAAGAGATCTATGCGACAAATTAAAAGGAGTACACCACCTACAAACCAACTTAAGCCACATCGTAGATTGCATCCCTCTACATTGGAGAGCCCTCTACTAAAATCAGATGAAAAATGGCAATACGGGGAATGGGCTACCCCCACCGACATCCAATTTGATCCAAACAATGTAGGAAGTTCTCTTCTTCAAGTATTATGAACCCCTTAACAACGACTGGATCTTCTGCGACATATACACCCTCGAGGAACCAGGAAACCCGATAAGCATTATTAACACAAAAAGGAGAGCAGAAGCAGCATTCATAGGCAATAACCTGAGAAGAATCAGAATCATAGAAGGAGAAAGAAAAAGAGTCTACAAGCGCTCCACAAGCGTCAGTAACCTAGTAATCGACCCCAAGGAATGGACATGGAACTCCCTGTCTGGCTCTACCCTCATCACAAACCAATGCACGTTAACCGACTACACACCTAAATTAGGATAGACACTCTTCACCAAACCCATATCAATAACCAATAATCTACGCACCAGATGGGCAAAAGGGGAACCACAACTAGCCAACACTCAATTCAAACCTCCCTGGACCATGATCTTCTCCACAAGACCGGTCAAGCTAGCCAGCCTGAGATGGCTAATAGCCTACAGAGCAGTCCCTGTAAGGCTGTAAACCAATGGTTGACCGGTAGACGCAAGCACGACAACAACATTGAACAAGACTCCTGGTGCAAGGTATGTAACCTCGATATCCCGGAATCACTAAGCCACTGCTTCATAGATTGGCCAAAGACCAGACCCCTCTGGCAAGCCCTAGAAACATCATGGTACAAAATCTCAAGCTCTCCCCTACTAATCAACCCAGCCACACTATTCCTCGATGTTTAAAAATCACCACCTCTCAAAGGTTTCAAAGCTTTCCTTTCCTCCCTAATCAAGAAAAGTACCATCGGGACCATATGGAAGAATAGATGCGACAACACCTTCGAGGACCGGCTCACCACCCCGGCAAACCACTCATCACCATCAAACAACTAATAGCCACCGAGATCCACACACTCTGGAAGAAACAGTACAACAAACTCCCCACCGTGCCCGATCAAAAAAGGCTGACACAATTAAAAAGTTCTCTACCTCCAAACTGGGCAATGGCCTACTTGGCACAATCAATAACGACAGACTCGCCATCAAAAATTGGCTAATCATAGCACAGTCACAAGACAACGCTACAATCTCACTAACGCCCGCATAACCACCAACAAACCAGCAACATACCACTAACCCACAGCTGGTTCAATAAAAACCTCTCTCCCCTAACCCACATCACTACTCACTTCAACCCAACCCCCCCCCCAAACCCTCCACCACACCCCCCTTATATTACCCAACACAATGTACTAGCCCAAAATCCCCCACAGCACAGTAACCCGAAAACCTCACCTCAAACCACACAAAGAAAACCTCAATTGGTCGTCAAACAGACCCCTCCTCACTATCTAGCATTCCCAAGATTACAGACCGACCCCAGTAACCACTACAGGTATCTTTAACAACTTCTATTCTGAAACATCCGACAAGGATAAACCATAGACAAATCACAGTCAGCGGAAGTTTAGGGGTTTAGCACCAAATAGGGGAAGAGTAGAAACACTGTAGAACAGGCTAACCTAGGCAGGGGTGAAGGGTGGTACATCCCTCCTTTGTGAGGTAATCAATGGTCCTTCGGGCCTCCACACCATGAGGGGGAGGAGCGTGAGTGAGTATACATCATATTCCTTTCTGACTTGCCGGTGGAATAGGAACCGGACTGATGCTCCCCAGAATGGACATGGAGCCAGGACCATAAGGTGTTGTTTAAAAAAATAAAAAATAAAAAGACTAATCAGCCCTCAGATGGTCCAGCTCATGCCTCGTTGGACGTCGGTTCGACGCCAAGCATTACCTGCATTTTAATGGTGTTGCTCTTCATGTCACTCCGTTACTTCACGAGAGACTTACCACACGGCCACGTGTTTTTTGGCGCGAGATTGAAAAACCAAACAGGTTGCATCACATGCGGCACGTGCAGGCCACTATCGTTAGCAAAAAAAATAAGAAAAAAAAAAGGAGGAAAAAAGAGAAAAAAAGGAAAAAGGCTTTGTGAGGTACATCATTGGTCCGCACACCGATCGACGTCCGTTCGAAGCGCTACGGTGCCCTCATCCCATGCTATGCCCCGGGAAGGCCTGGACCATGTATTCTACCTGTGATGTAACCTGCCCATCTGATAGCATTTATCAGGCATAGTTTTTTTTCTCGAGGGAGGGTATAGGGGTGTTTAATTGTTTTTGTTTGCTTCATAGAACTGAGCCAGCGAAAACATGACCAGGCAACTAGAAAAATGGAAACAATTCGGCAGAGTTAGGATTGAATACGACGCTGGCCGGAGCTGGGTTGAGCTGTGTTGCCCTGTAACCTAGCAGGATGGGGGCATGAGGCCTGGGAAAGCTCGGCAGGGAATAAGGCAGTGTTAGAAAATTTTAGAATGTTTTGCTGGAGATTCCAGGGGTTCTGAGCATTCAAAGGGCTTCTCCGGTTTTCCGTTTTGACTTAGTGAGTGCTGCTTGAGTAGCCTAGCAATAGGTTAGCAGTTATCCATGTTTTTCCATACTTTCTAGAACCTTTTCATAGTTCTCAGATTGTTCTTAGCCGAAGCCAGGTAATGGCCCTGGTATTTCAAATCTTTTCAATTCTTTTGTATGATTCTATATGGGACGCTGGGCCTGGTTCCCACGAATAGATTGGAGCATTTCGTCCCCCTCCAAAAAAAATAATAAAAAAAATCAATAGGGGTAGACTGGTAATCGAAACAGGCCTATTTCCTCCTCCAGTGCTCCCTCCATTTTTTTGAGGGGCTCATCCGGTCTTCCCATCCTCCTGTATGCGTGTGTGTGTGTGTGTGTGTGTGTGTGTGTGTGTGTGTGTGTGTGTTTTGTAGTGTGTGTGTGCCCCACCCCATTGCCTTCGGGGTTTGGAAGAGGCGCGGGAGGCGAGATGCCGAGGGGCATCAGGCCTCCCGGCCCTCCGCCCCCCGGTCACCAACACACACTACCACAACCACAGACACAAGGTTAGTACGTGCGGTACCTGCCAACCAATACATCCATGACCGTTCTGTCATCTACCTTACTGGGTTGGTAGTCCAGTCTTTTCTCAAAAACTTTCCTCACCACCTTCCTGCACTCGTTCCACTCATCCTCGGAGTCGACCCCCGAGGACGATTCCTCGGGGCTCCCGCGGCCCCGATTTATATATGCACAAGCGGACGCGGGGGTGGGGCTGACGGTGGTCCACCGAGTTGTGGTCCACCTTTGTTGGCCGTCGCGAATTCGAATGAGGGCGGGAAACGAGAAAAAAACAAAACCGGGGCCCTTGGAAATGGCGCGCAACGGTCCTGTTCAAAATTTGAAATTTGAAATCAGGCTTTGCGATCGGCGGCACGTGGAGGACGTACGTTTCACGCCTGGTTGCGTCTGCGGCTGGCGTTCGTGGCGTTCGCATAAGTGACGATTGTCCCCTGCGGTTGTCGTTGATGAGCACGGTCGTGTACGCGTTAGCGGCAAGGGGAGACGACATCGATACGTGAGCGTTGGGAAAGGCAGACGACCATCGTCAGTGCGTGGCTCCGAAGATATTGCACAGCCACCGACGCTGTGATCTTCCGCGTGGCGCTGTTTGTGGAGTCCAGTGGTTTGATTGACGTGATGTCATCGGAAGCGGCGTCTGGGATGGACATTGATAGCGGGGCAGGGCGCGGCGGTTTGACGACGGCGGAGAGGACGACTTTTGCTGCGGTGGTTAATGTCGTCCTCTTCCACTGCCAGATGGCGAGCAATGACGCGAACTTCAAAGCGGCTGCTCGTGCACGGTGCAAGCTGTTGGCGCTTCCGACGACTGGGCAGTGCTTGGATGTGGCTTCCATTTCCGACGCGGTGCTGGAGGTCTACTACGCGATGGGGTGCGGGGGGTTTCCAAGGGCGACTCCACGGTGGTGGGTGAAGCGGCGAACGGGCGGCACGTGGGAGGATGTGCGGCAATGTGATGACGCAACGGATGATTACTTCAAGGAGAAGCTTCGAATGTCGCCTCGTGTTTTCCGCGAGATCGCGGAGACTCTTTCCCCACTCCTTCAACGCCGTGTGACGTTCTACAGGGTGCCTTTGTAGCCAGACCACATAATTGCCTATGCACTGTACAGGTGGGCCACTGGGGAGACGTACGACAGCGGGACGTGTAGCTTCGGCATCGGGAGGGCTTCCGGCATCACGGCGGTGCATGACGTGACGGCGGCATTGCTGACTGCTTACCCCGACAAGATATTATGGCCCACAGGTTTGCAGAAGGCGGTCGTGTTGCACGCCTTCGCTGACAAGGGTTTTCCAAACTGCCATGGGTGCATCGACTGTACACATATCTACATCGAAAAACCCGCGAACGCCAACGGTGAGGACTACTACGACATGAGACTTCGATTCTCCGTGCAGGCGCAAGTGGTGGTCGACATGAACTTGCGTGTGCTGGACGTCTTCGTCGGTTATCCGGGGAGTGTGCATGACATGAGGATGCTGAACCTGTCAAGTTTGTGGGTGCGCGCGGAGTCAGGACAACTTTTCACTGGGCTGCATGTGATGCTGCCTTTCGGTGTGCGGACTAATGGCTACTTGCTCGGCGACAACGGTTATCCGCAGTCGGAATGGATAGTCGTCCCTTACGGCGGTCTCGCGCAACACCCGACAGAGGCACGCTTCGACACCAAACAGAAGACGGTCAGGGGATCAGTGGAGAGGGCGTTTGGCAGACTGAAGGGGATGTGGAGGTTGTTCCTCCGCACCCACAAGTGCAACATGGACAGCTTGCTGCAACAATTCGTCGTCGTCTGCATCCTCCACAACATACTCATTGACGCCGGCGTCCCGTTTGACAACAATCTGCTGTGGGAGGTGGGTCCAGACGGCGTGCGACGTAGAGTGGATCTGGGGATGCATCAACCATTGAGGCCAGTGTGCATGGAGTCTTCGACGGGGGATGCGCTGATATTGAGGGACACGTTGGCGGAGCGGATGATTGCGCAGTGAGGTTGGCCGTGTT